ATGTCAATGAGAGGTTGATCCACACTAATGCTGCAGCACGGGGTATGATAGTCTACATGCTGCTGAAGATGATCTTTACGTGACCTTCCTTTTTCTCTTCACCCACACACTTACAGCACTGAAGGTTGACACAGGACCATGACCTAATCTCAGACCCCTCCCACTGTGCAGGTTCCCACTTGTGAGCTGTGGAAGGGTGGAGGCTGGCCTAGTGCTAACTATTCACTGAACTCTGCATCAGCTGCAACAGCTTGGGAGTCTTCAAGGGACCAACCAGCCCTTTAGTTGTGAAAAGCAAACGGGAGTAAAAAGAAGGTTTAAGACAACAGCAAGTTGTACACCGTGGGGACGAGTTCCACAGCCGCTCTCAGGTTGCAGAGAGGTGAATGTGTTAAAAAGCAGAGTGATGCAATTTTACTACTGTTTACAAAGGTATTAGATTAGAAATGCCAGCTAGCTTGCATCACGCTGTATTTTTTTATTACTAACAGTTACTGCAACCCCTAAGGATTGTCCTTAAGAACTGTAACTTGTAATGGGGGATCGCAAGGTTCCAAGGACTGGGAATGGAATTAGAGCATCTTGCATTACAGAAAAACTAAAACTGAATAGAAATAAAAGTACGTGCTCGGGGATGAATGCTGAATGAAAGGGGACTGAATGCAGGAAACGAGACAGGAAAAAATCACTAACACCTGCTAATTGGAAACATTAATATTTGTCTATACTCTGTATTAATTACTTTATATGTTGCAGAGGAAGAGTATATGATGACACAAGGTGAAGTCAGTGGTGAATCAGGTCCATGCTGTGAAGCCCTAGTAACTAATCGATATTGAGGACACCTCTGCCTGATGTACAAGAGTATACTTACAAACTGAAGCAAAAAGAGTACTCATGCCGTATATATCTTCCATGCGGTGTCTACACAGGTTCAAGGAAACTGTAAATTGGGTCCAAATGTGCAGCTCAGCAATACCCTTGTGAAGATCCTTACCAGAGACATCTCTGCCTGAGATCCAACAGGATTCTTTAGTCCATGAACAGGTTGCTCATTCGGTAGATATCTTACACGCAGTGTCTGACACTGTCACAATCCCTACTGCGAACACGACTTAATGAAGACACCTTGGAGAGTTTCTGACATGTCAAGAATGGGTTGATTCACACTAATACTGCAGCATGATCTGTATGTGACTTTCTCTCTTCACCCACACACTTAGAGCACCTAAGTCTGTAACAGGACTCGCAGAACCCTTCCCCTGTGCATGTGCTTGTCAGCTCTGGAAGGGCTGAGGTTGGCACAGTGCTATTAACTGTTCACAGAACTCTGCATCAGCTGCAGCTTGGGATTCCTTTAGGGACCTGTAACCAGCCCTGTGGTTGGGAAAAGCAAACAGGATTAAAAAAAAAAAAGTTTTAAACAACAGCAAGATGCATATCTAAAGTTAAAGACCATAGGGGCTGAGTTCCACAGCTACACTCATCTTGCAGGTATACAAACGCGTTAAAAGGCAGAGTGATGCAATTAATACTGTTTACAGAGGTTTTGGAGGGCAAATGCCAGCTATATTGCATCACTTTGTATTTTTTATTACTAACATTTGCTGCAAGCCCATAAACACATAGTGTAAACCTAAGGATTGTTGTTAAATACAGTAACATGTTAAAGAGGTTTGCGTGGCTCAGGGGACTGGTCATGGAATTAGAGCATCGTGCATTATGGAAACTAAAACTGAATAGAAATATAAGTGCAATATAAAGTACCTGCTGAGGTATAAATCCTGAATGGAAAGGGACTGCATGTAGGAGGCTAGACAGGAGAAAATCACTAATACTTGCTAATTGGAAACATTAATATATGTCTGCTCTGTCTCAATTTATTGATACATTGCCGAGGAAGACTTTATATGGTGCCACAAGGTGAAGGTCAGGGTTTGAGTCTGGTCTGTGGTGTGAAGCTCTGTAACATCCTAGTAAATAATGGCTATTGAGGACACCTCTGTCTGCTGTACAGGAGTATGCATACTCCTGTAAAAAGAGTACTTGTTCCGTATATATCTTCCATGCCGTGTCTACACAGGTGCAGGGAAATTAAATCAGGTCCGAAGGCTGGCCTGGCACTAATAACTATTCACACAACTCTGTATCAGATGCAGCTTGGGATTCCTTTAGGGACCTGTAACCAGCTGTGTGGGTGTGATAAGGAAATGGGATTTAAAAGAAGGTTTTAAACACCAGCAAGCTGTACGTCTGAGGATAAATACGGTAGGGCTGCATTCCGTAGCTGTTTGCAGCTTGCAGGGCTATAAAAGTGTTAAAAAGCAGAGTGATGCAATTATTAACACTGGTTTACAAAGCTTTCGATTGCAAATACCATTTATGTTGCATCACATGGTATTTTTTATTACTAATAATTACTGCAGCCCCATGGACACAAAGGGCACGTCTACACAGGGATAAAAGACCTATGTCACAGTTGTGGCTGGCCTACCTCAGCTGACTCAGGGCGTGGGCTGCAGGGCTAAAAATCACTGCGTAGACATTTGGGATTGAGCTGAACCCTGGGCTTTGTGACCCTCCTCCTTTGCATGGTCCCAGATCTCGGGCTCCAAGCCAAGTCCGAGCATTTACACAGTGATTTTTCAGCCCCAAAGCCCTAGTCCCACAAACCTGAGTCAGCTGCAGGTTTTTTCTCCCTCTGTAGACACAGCCATTGTGTAATCCTATAGATAGCTCTTAAGTAAGTAACTTGTAACTGGGAATTGCAGGGCTCAGGGGACTGGTAATGGAATTAGAGCATCTTACAATTATGGAAAAACTAAAACTGAGTAGATATATCAATGCAATACAAAGTACATGCTGGGGGATGAATGCTGAATGAAACAGGACTGAATGCAGAAGACTAGAGAGGAGAAAATAACACCTGCTCATTGGAAACATTGTCTGTCTTTGCTCTATATTAATTATTTATATATTGCAGAGGCAGTGTTTATACGATGACACAAGGTACAGGTCAGTGGTGAATCAGGTCCCTGATGTGAAGCCCTAGTAACTAATCGATATTGAGAACACCTCTGCCTGATGTACAAGAGTATTCTTACTTCCTCAAAAAGAGTACTCATGCCGTCTATATCTTCCATGCGGTGTCTACACAGGTCCAGGGAAACTGTAAATTGGGTCCAAATGTGAAGATCCTTACCAGAGACATCTCTGCCTGAGATCCAATGAGATTCTTTAGTCCATGAACAGGTTGCTCATTCTGTATATATTTTAAATGTAGTGTCTGACACTGTCACAATCCCTACTGCTCACACCAGTTTCGTGACGATACCTTGCAGACATATGTCAACAATGGGTTGCTCCACACTAATCCTGCAGGATGGTGTATGAGAGGTCACATGCTACTGAAGTTGATTTGTATGTGACTTTCCTTTTTCCCCACACTAGACCCAAACCTAGACTAATCTCCGAACCCTCCCCCTGTGCATGTATCTGCTTGTGAGCTCTGCAAGGGGGAAGGCTGGTATAGTGCTGCTAAAGGTTCACAGAACTCTGTATCAGCTGCAGCTTGGGATTTCTTTAGGGACCTGTAACTAGCCCTGGATTTGAACAAAGCAAATGGGATAAAAATAAGGTTTAAAACAGTAACAAGCTGTACATCTATAATTAAAAACAGTGGGGCTGAATTCCTCCGCTGATCTCAGCTTGCCGGGCTATGAAAGCGTTAAACGGTAGAGTGATGCAATCTTTAATACTGTCTATTAAGCCATTGCAATACAAATGCCAGCTATATTGCATCACACGTTTTTAATTATTTATTATTATTATTACCAATTACTGCAGCCCCGTAGACACAGAGCGTAATCCTAATTATTGTCTTTAAGTACACTAACGTGTAATGTGGGATTGCATGGTTTAGAGGACTGGGTAGAACATCTCGCAATATGAAACAAATTAAAAATGAATAGAAATAGAGGTGCAATAAAAGGTACATGCTAGGGTATGAATCCTGAATGAAACAGGACTGAAATCAGGAGACTAGACAGGAGGAAACCACTGGAAACATAAGTCTTTGCTCTATATTAATTATTTTATATATTGCAGAGGAAGAGTGTATATGATGACACAAGATGGTCAGTGGTGAATCAGGTCCTAGTAAATAATCTTTATGGCAGACACCTCCGCCTGATGTATAAGAGTATTCTTACTTCCACAAAAAGAGAACTCATTCAACATATATCTTCTATGCAAGATATACAGGTCCCAGGTAACTGTAAATCAGGGCCAAACGTGCAGCTCAGCAATACTCCTATGACGGTTCTTACCAGAGACTGCTCTGCCTGAGATCCAGCAGGATTTTTTAGTCTACAAACAGGTTGTTCATTGGTTAGATATCTCACGCTGTCACAATTCCTACCACTTACACCAGTTTAGTGAAGACACCTTGCAGAGCCCCTGACATATGCCAACGAGGGGTTGATTCATATTAATGCTGCAGCATGAGGTATGATAGTCTATGTGCTGCTGAAGTTGATCTTTACGACTCTCCTTTCTCTCTTCACCCACACACTAGAGCACTGAAGTTGGTGACAGACCCTCACCTAATCTCAGGCCCCTCCCACTGTGCACGTACCCAACTTGGGAGCTCTGGAAGGGGTGTACACAGAATGCTGTACCTGCTGTCGCTTGGCATTCCTTTAGGGCCCTGTAACCTGCTCAGTAGTTGTGAAAAGGAAATGGGATTAAAAAGGTATAAAAGAACAGAAAGTAGTACGTCTAAAGGTAAATACCATTGGGCTGCGGTCCATGGTTGCTCTCAGGTTTCAGGCCCAAGAAAGCGTTAAAAGGCAGAGTGATGCAATTTTTCAATACTGTTTACAAAGCTTCTGGAAAGAGTGAAAAGGCCGAGTTCAGATTCTGGGCTATCAGGAGCCGCTGACTGTGCACAGGAATCCTAGGGAAAAGCAACGCATTGTATGTGCAGATTCGGAGTGAGCATCATGACTGAGTTCACCGGAGGCGACGTTTACCAGGCAGAATTTGACCCGAAGGCCTTCCTGGAATATTTTAAGTTTGGGGAAGACACCTGGAGAGATGACTTTCTTATCTTCATCCTGAAACAATACTGTAAAACCTTCACTTCAGGTATGTGGGATTTGGGACTCATCCCTGGCTTGTCTATCCTTGTCTGTGACATCAGAAACCAGGTTATTATCATGGCACCTTTGGCCTGGGTTGTGGCGAAGTATCCTGTAATATGCATTAGTTATTTGGTTTCCATGGTCACTCCTATCTGATGTGCAACAAACATGCTATGGGAGTTCATTAAGTCTCACCTTGCGGCACAGGGGGGCTGAGGACCCTTCAGAGAGTGTTTCTAGATAAAAAGCCCATTAAATAGGCTAAATATATAGCCTTTGGAAGTACCACAGGTCCCCAGAAAGCTTTCCCCATCCTCCCCTTTCTGCAAGCATCCATGCAGTATGGCCGTGGACTGAGACTCAGGACACCTGAGTTCTGTTCTCAAGCCTGACACTGACCTTCCCATTGACCCCGGGCAAGTCACATCACTGCTCTGTGCCTCATTTGTAAAACAGGGATAATGACATTAGTGTTCCGGTCCAAAGTGCTTGGAGCTGTATAAATGTAAAGCACTAGACAGAAAAGTTAGTTATTATTAATTATTATCTAGCAAATTTCCCCTTAGCCTTCTCCTGGGAGCGGAAATGAGTTTTTTTATGAAGAGCTCCAACTCTGTTCAAAAATCACCCCTGCAGTTAAATTTTTGAATATACTTGCATCCCTTACTACGAAGTAGATGTGATGCAAATTTTAATACCGTTTACAAAGCTGTTGGATTGCAAATGCCAGCTATAATGCATCACATTGTACATTTTCTATTTCTAAGAATTACTGCAACCCCATAGACACATGGTGTAAGCCTGGGGATTGTCCTTAAGTACAAAGCAACTTCTAAGTTTGGTATTGCATAGCTCAGGGGACTGGTAATAGAATTAGAGCATCTTGCATTACAGAAAAACTAAAACTGAATAGAAATGTAAGTGCAATAAAAAGCACATACTAAGTATAAAACCAGAATGAAATGGAACTGAATGCAGGAGACTAGACAGAAGACAATTACTAATACCTGCTAATTGGCAACATTAATATGTGTCTTTGCTCTTTATCAATTAATTTATACGTTGCAGAGGAAGAGTTTATGTGACAACACAAGGTGAAGGTCAGTGGTGGATCAGGTCCATGGTGTGAAGCCCTGTAACAGCTTAGTCAATAATTGTTATTGAGGACACCTCTGCCTGATGTACAATAGTATTCTTACATCTACAAAAAGAGCACTCATTCCGTACACATCTTCCATGCAGCGTCAACATTGTCATCTTCTATACTGCTACCTGGGTTAGTTTAGATTTGCAGGAGAGTATATGATGTTAATGTGCATGTCAAGAAGCATTGAGGACTTGCAGTCAAAGCTTGGTAACACTGAAGTCACTAGGCGTTTGGCCATTGCCTTCATGGAACCAAGATTTAGCTCTAGATGTATTAAAACTAAATCAGCTAAGTTTAATTGAGACAAAGTTGCATTTAGTCTGGTTAAGATGCAATGAGCGCCAGGAATTCTGTATTCTGAACCAGGTGGGGTGAAAGGCGACACCCTGATTGATATTGGCAGTGGGCCCAACATTCATCAGCTCCTCTCCGCCTGCGAGTCCTTTAAGGAGATCATTGCTTCAGACTATACATATCGGAACCACCGGGAACTGGAGAAATGGCTGAAGAATGAGCCAGAAGCGTTTGACTGGACTCCAGTGGTGGAATACGTGTGTGAGCTAGAGGGAAACAGGTACAGGGACTAGAAAAAGCAGATTGCCTAAATCCCTTGTGTATTGCTTAGTCTGTCTATGCAGCATCATCTACTTATACTGATCAGCAATATAATCAGTTGTGAATACAGGCAGCATTTTTGGGGAGAAAATAGAAAGCTGGAGGAATGTGGTTTTCAGTCATGATAGAGTCTGTATAGGGTCCCCTGTGGGTCTCAGTATCCGAGACCTTGGAGAGAGCTATCAACTGGTAAATTGTTGCTAAAGTAAATTCACCTGTTTGCTGATTTTCTTACAAAACCACAATTCAATCAGGGGGTCCACTGTAAAAGTAGCCAGAGTTCATGACCCCCTTAGCAAATTGGGATGAGTTCTGAGCAAAATGTGGTGGCTTTCCAGCATATCTTAAAACTGACCCAGGGAAAAGGGAACTAAAGATAAAGTTAAGACAAGATCCTACAAATAGACATCATTCTAGCAAACAATGTTTTCCTCCTAATACTCACACCTATATCATAGAAAGACACTGAAATTGCAGATAACCCTTTGGAGTTCATCTTGTATTGTACATGTGTATGTCTCTGTAGGGAGAAGAAGGCTGAGAAAGAGGCAAAATTAAGGAAAACCATCAAACAGGTTCTAAAATGTGATGTCCACAAAAGCAACCCCATGGATCCAATTGTCCTGCCTCCAGCTGACTGCCTCATCTCATCACTGTGCTTGGAAGCTGCTTGCAAAGATCTGAACACTTACCGCAATGCTCTGAAGAACATCAACTCTCTGTTAAAGCCAGGAGGGCACTTGGTGCTGAGTGGAGATTTGGGCTGCAGTTTCTTCATGGTTGGCCCCAAAAGGTTCTCGTGTTTGGACCTGAGAGAGGAATTTCTGAGGGAAGTCCTCAGTGAAACTGGCTTCATCATTCAGGAGTTTGAGGTTCTCTTCAGGGGTGATGATATCATCGACGAAAGCTCTGATTTCTCTGGGATGTACTTCATTCTCGCTCGCAAAGAAGAAGCAATATAAATCCTTTGGGGAGTACGGGTAAAGCAAACCCTCCCCGAAGGAAGGGAGATAATATTACTAATAAACATACCAATGAAATGAATGCAGTATTTTCTCCAGCAATGTTAAATACATTAACCCTTTGTTGTAAAATACATAATGCAGGAGAATATAAGCAGCTAAATTGCTGTTGCAGGATGAACTTAACTGAGGAAATGCTTCCCTGCAGGATGAGTTCCAACAGACAATTTTGGTTGCTATTTTTTTTATTTTATTGCAATTTTTGAACAATTTTTACCCAAGTTCTGCTTTGGTTCTTGGTATTTGCCAAAGAAAAGATCCAATGAGCTACATAGTGAGAGGAATGGTTTTGTTTCTGTAAACATACTTAGCTCCTTATATTAGTTTGATGGATGCTCTTCTTGTGTTAATGAAATGTCATGTTACTCCTTGAAATCTTCTGTTTTACGTTATGAAAAATGTGTATTTTTGTGTGAAAAAACTGGCCTCATTAAATATTCCCAGTGAGGATACTGAGGTGGATTTGCTCTATTCGAACCCTATCGAATGTGCATGGCTTTCCATTGCTTTAATGAACATGGGCTCATGGGCTCTAATCTTAATTTTTTGTCCCCTAGTTCAGGTTTCTCTGGAAAGGCAGTTTTAAATAGAATTAGACAACATGGCCTTGGTCTTCTGGTCCAGCCAGTCTGTGTTCAAGCAGCACCCAACTGAGGTGAGGAGATGAACGTGGCTTTGTGCCTCCTTCTCTTCCCCCAACCCCTTGCCTCCTGATCCTTTAGCTGACTGGCGGCCAGGTCAGTCCTTTGCAAAAGTTAGAGCAGCTGCAGGGCTACTCTAAATTGCACAGGCTAGTAAAAGCCTGCAAAGGACTGTTCCAGTAGCCAGGGATACTGGAACCCAGAGATAGTCTGGTCATGACCCCCACCATGGGCCAGTCTCTGCCACATGTATCATCCATGCTATTTTATCAGCAAAGCACAATGCAGCTGTAAGATTATATATAATTCTGTAATGTTCTATGGGCCTGGGGCATACGTTGTTGGATATTACCAAGGTTTTATGCTCCCCAGTTTCTCGCGGCTGCTCTCACAAAGTGGGACGGCACTGGCTGGACTGGTCAGATAGGTCAGATTTCCAGATAAGAATCTGGACGGACTGCAGGTCTAGGGCTGGGAAGGGCATTCAGAACTTTAGGCCCAAGCAACTGGTCGTGTCAGATCTCCTCAGAGATGTGCCTGAGCTGCCAGGCTCGAATGCAGGTCTTAACCACGTGACTGAAAGTCAGTTCCCTTCTCTGTGCCTGAGCAGAGGTGTGCAAAGTGCTGATGGCGGGACTGTGCTCAGACCAAGAGTTCCTTTGGTGGGGGCTGGAGGCAAACCAACCTGCAGGTTCAAGGAGCGGTCTCATGAACTGAAACCTCCGATGGCAACCCCCACAGCTAGTTGCCTTTCAGCTCTCACCCTCCTCCCCCGCCCCCCGAAAAAAAGCCCTGAGAACTTGCTTCTTTTTTCCATAAGGCATGTCTGCACCTCAAGTGCTACAGACGCACAGCTGCAGCTCTAGCATTGTAGACACTTACTAGAGTGATGGAAGGGGTTTTCCCGTTGCTATGGTGGCTCCACCCCCTCGAGAGGCAGTAGCTAGTTCGACAGAAGAATTCTTCCATTGACCTCCCTGCGTCTACGGTGGGGTTAGGTCAACATAACTATGGCGCACAGCATGTCCAATTTTTCACAACCCTGAGCGGTGTAGCTAGGCCAACCTGGGTTTTAGGTGTAGACCAGGTCTTGGAAGCCACCAGCATGATTCTGAGGCTTGTTGAGGGAAGAACGGAGCTGATGGGGTGGGGGGAGTTCACCAGCTCCCCCTTGGTGGGAAGCATTCAGCTTATGTCCACCAACCTTATGAGGGTCCGGGCTGAGATTCTGCGAAGGCAGCTGCCCTCCCAGCCTCAGCTCATCAAGAGGGAATGAGGGGGGGTAAGAATATTTCACTTGGCTCCAGCTGTGAGGCTCTGTGTTTGGAAAGGCCCGTGCCCTCCTCTGACTGGAGAGGCTGAAGAGGACACAGCCGTACCAGTAGGGCACACGGCGTGTCCTGGCTGCTCTAGCATAACAGAGAGTCGTGTCACTCTATGAGCTTACCGAATCCACTCCTCTGACCTCCTGCGTATCACAGGCCACCAACGCCACCCAGCGCCCGCACATTAAACCCGACGTCTGAAATGACACCAGAGACTAGGGGGGACAGAGGTGCACAGCCTAGGCACCCTGTGAAGTGACTGGGCTATTTCATTTCTGAGAAAGGGCTGATTGGGCCTGATGCCGCAGCTTGACACGAGACTACCAGTCTGCTGCTGAAGCTGAATTAGGCCTCTGCACCCACACACTAGCGCACTGGTGTCTGAGACAGGGACCTAAGCTGTCTCTCACTGTGCATGTGTGATGGAAGGAGCACAGGGTAACCAGACAGCAAGTGTGAAAAATCGGGACGGGGTGGGGGGTAATAGGTGCCTATATAAGACAAAGCCCCAAATATCAGGCCTGTCCCTATAAAATCGGGACATCTGGTCACCCTAAAGGAGCATGTCTGGAAGCCCTAGCACAGCGGTTCTCAAACTACATTGCTCTGCGACCCCCTTCTGACAACAAAAATTACTACGTGACCCCGGGAGGGGGGCAGAAGCCTGAGCCCCGGCTTCAGCCCTGGGTAGGGGGGCTTGGGCTCCAGCTTCAGCCCCAGACTCCAGCAAGTCTAATGCCAGCCCTGGCCCCCCCATTAAAATTGGGTCATGGGGTCCCGGCCCACAGTTCGAGAACCGCTGCCCTAGCATGTTGCTAGGACTCATTGACAGAGCATGCAGGTTGTATCGAATCTGGTTTCAAGTCGTTTGACCTGTTACCTTGAAATCTAATGTGATTTAAAAAAAAAAAAAAAAAAAAGGCAGAAAAAACAAAAAGAGCAAAGTGCCAATCTGAACAACCGAGATCAATAGCCTCTGCGCCTTCGCTACTGGCAGGGCCAGGAACCTTTTCAGAGGCAGAGTTCTGATGCTGGGTTAGTTCAGACAGAGTTCAGATTCCTGGCTCTGACTGTGGGTGGGAGGTCACAGGGAGAACCAGAGCAGAATCTAAGCTGTCACCGCTCATAACACCAACTGAGTTGAGATTGCGAAGAAGCTTTAAAGTCTTAGGGTATGTCTATACTTACGCGGTAGTTCGACGGCTGGCAATCGAACTTCCGGGTTCGATTTATCGCGTCTGGTCTGGACGCGATAAATCGATCCCGGAAGTGCTCGCCGTCGACTGCGGTACTCCAGCTCGGCGAGAGGAGTACCGCGGAGTCGACGGGGGGGCCTGCCTGCCGCGTGTGGACCACGTCTGAACCGCGGTAAGTTCGAAGTAAGGTATGTCGACTTCAGCTACGTTATTCACGTAGCTGAAGTTGCGTACCTTAGTTCGAATTGGGGGGTAAGTGTAGACCAGGCCTCAGGGGCAAAGCCTCTGGGCCACTGAAATCAGTGGAAGTTTGGCTATTGCCCTGAATGGAAGCAGGGCATGATTTTAACTGGAAAAAAAAATGCATTGGAAAAACAGCCCAGTGTAATTGAGCTGCAGCTGCATTTAGCCTGGTTAGGACGTGATGAGCTTGAAGAATTCCCCAGTCTGAACCAGGAGGTGTAAAAAACACCTTGGTGAATGTCGGCAGTGCCCCACTATTTACCAGCTCCTAGGTCCTTGCAAGATCTTTAAGGAGATCACTGCTTCAGACTACAGGGACCGGAAGTGCCAGGAACTGCAGAACTGGCTGAAGAAAGAGCTGGAGTCCGACTCTAGGGGTTGAACTGTGTGCATGAGCTGGACAGGACAGTTACTGGGCTGGAAGAAGCTTGTTATTTAAATCCCCTGAGTACTGCAAAGCTGTTTTTTCGTGGGGCCAGCAACTCTTAGTGACCAAATGCAAATTTATCAACAGAGAGATCCTCAGGGAAAAACTTTGTTGTGGACAGGCCAGATGAGTTTGCAGCAGTACGGAATGCAGGCAGAAATTTCAAGGGAAAAAAAGGGGAGTGGGATTGAGGGGAACTACATGGGGGGAGGGGTTCAGAGTCTCTTTAAGGTCCCCAGTGGGGCTCAGCATCAAAGTCCTGTGGAGGGGGGAAGCTGTTGGCAGAGAACGGCAGCGTATCCAAACTGAAATATTGACAGGGAAAGCATTAAGCTGAGATGCTAAAGCAACCTTACCTAATTCAAGATATTGTTACAAATCCCTGCTAAAAAGTTTGCTAGGGTTCAGGATGCATCAACAATCTTGGGGTGCGTTCTGAGCAAAATTTGGCATTAAAGTTTGGGCTTAGTTTCACTTGGAGATTTGGCATTTGTTAAAACCTGATCCACAAACCAAAAATAAAAAAGGTCCCCCAAAGACCCTGAAAATAGACATCACTCCAGTAAGCAATTTGTTCTCTAATATTCACACCTGTATCATGCTGCAAAGGAATAAAAAGACATTGAATTTTCAGTTAACCAAGTTGGTCCATATTTTGCTTTTTCCTTTAGGGAAAATTGGGCTGAGAAGGAGGCAAAGTTAAGCAGAATCATCAAACAGGTTCTAAAATGTGATCTCAACAAAAGCAACCCCTTGGTTCTAGTCATCTTGCTTCCAACTGACGGCCTGATCTCATCACTGTGCTTGGAAGCTGCTTGCAAAGATCTGACCACTTATCGCATTGCTCTGAAGAACACCAGCTCCCTTTTAAAGCCAGGAGGGCACTTGGTGCTGAGTGGAGTTTTGAGCTGCAGTTTCTACATGGTTGGCCCCAAAAGGTTCTCGTGTTTGGTACTGAGAGAGGAATTTCTGAGAGAAGCCCTCAGTGAAACTGGCTTCATCATTCAGGAGTTTGAGGTTCTCATCAGGGATGATAATATTGATGACAGCTGTGATTTCTCTGGGAAGTTCTTCATTCTCGCTCGCAAACAGGAAGCAATATAAACCC